CTATCTTTCCTCCAATGATGGTGGTTGGCTCCTTTGTCAAAGATGAGGTGGCTGAGCATGTCTGGAGTTGTTTCTGGATCTTCTAATCTATTCCATTGATCCTCAGGTCTGTTCCTTTGTCAGTACCATGCTGATTTTATCACAGTAGCTTTGTAGTATAGTTTCAAGTTGGGGATTGTGATACCCGCCTGGCTGGATCTTGATTCCACCAGATATGCTTACTCCATCCAGTCTTCAGTATTAATTACAGGTATTTTCCATCAAGAATGGATGTGGAGAGCCAGATGTCCCCATGGCCTGCATCCTCACAGCCTTCAGATCCAACTGTGCCACTAATAAATAGCAGCTTTCAGTGCTACTGATGCCTGGCTCTGCTTTGTTTTATTGTACCGTTGATTGCCTGACATCAGCTGTTTTATTTTGGGGTTTTTTTCCCCTCTTAACTAGAATATAAACTCCATGAGGGCTGAGACTAACTCTTTTGTTTACATTAGTAGCTCTGATCTCAAGAACAGTCTCTGGCAAATACTGAGAGCTCAGTAAGTGCATATATGTTGACTGTGCAAATGAGCACCAGAGAGCATGAGTGGTGTGGTGCATTCTTGCCCCTGCAGCGGGAACAGATACTTGGTAGCTGAGTCCAGAACCCTTTCAGTGTTTTCTAAGCTATTCTGAGGAGCTGCTTCAGGGGACATCGTGAAGGAGGGGTGATAAATGGGTAGAGTTTCAAATCTTTTGCTTCCCATCTAAAATTCTTGTTTATTTCAAGTAAAGATTACTGCTGTTGGAAGGCACTGCTTTGACTGAGTGGCAGCCTCTGATGTCATAGATCTTTAAAGCTGCTGGCTATGTTTATTGTGGGATGTCTCTGCCCATGATCCATTTTGAGCAGTCTGTTATCCTTTTTATTCTTTCCAGAATTTTTAACCCCATTTGTGATACACTTGTTAACTAAGAATAATTAGTATTTTAATCTAAGCAAAAGTACCACAGTGAGGGCCGGGGATTTGGCTCAGTGGTTTTGCCATCTGCTGGGCAAGCGCAAGGAGACCCGACTTCAATCCCCGGTACCAAAAAAAAAAAAGTACCACAGTGAATTTTATTTGAGAGTTTATTTAATGCTGAGAAATATATCTAATCTCTATAACATCAAGGTATTGAACCCTTGGGATATTTCTTTGAACCTCTTTAAAGCCTGTGGTTCTGAGAACTCTCTTCTGAAATCATATCCCCAACTCACGTGCTGTCCTGCCCCAAATCAGACATGTGCCTTTGGCAGCTATTTGCTCTATGTTTTATTACAGTCTTCCTTTACTGTAAGAAATTAGTGCTAGTTTCTTTTTTTTAATGCAGATTTAAAAACTGTGATAGGAAAATGCTTGACCCACTTTGGTGCTTTCCTTGGTTGGTACAAATATTATCACTTGCTATATTTAGAAATTATATCTTTTCTCTTGTATTTTGTACCAAGAACTAATTTAGCTCAAGTGAAGTTGTATAAATTGAGAAGTAATGCATTCTATTTAGGGCTGTTCTGTGACACTTATTTGTATGACAGGAAAATATTTTTAACATAACTTTTTAAATATTACCATAGTATAGTAATTGAACAATTCATAAAGCACACTGAACATGATTACATCATCTGATAATTTAGTGGCTAGGAAAGATAAATATATAGAAATGTGATTATAACTGTGTGTGTGGGGATGTGTAACACATCCAGTAAAATATTTGCTGCCAGAACCTTTAATTTAGGTAGCTGAACTTTTAAGTGCTAAGTACTGTAATTTAAAAACTTTTAAATTCCATTTTTTGAACTCATTTAAAAATGTTTTAATAAACTCTCACTTATATTTTGAGTGAATGAATTACTGAGCTGAATCAACCTGTTCATAGATGTAACCAACAATTAATTAATTTGTTTATTTATTTATTTTGGTACTGGGGATCAAACTTGGGGGACCTTGCACTTGCGAGGCAGGCAGCAGTACCACTGAGCTAAATCCCCAGCCCCATAACCAACAATTTAGATGTGATACATGTGTGCTGTGAGACTAATAAATTATCACTATTCTAATATGTAAAATGAATATTTAAAAACCTAACTTTCTCTTCACCTAGTTCCTGAACTAAACTGATGGTTATGCCTCATTGTTTTTCTCATGTTAGTCAGGGCTTTTGAAAGCTCTGATAGCCAGTATACATATTCATAGTGCATTTGACATTTGATCCTTTAATACAGTAGTGCTGTTTTACCTTTTCTTCACTGGATTGTTAGCTTCTCTTTTTCAGGTAACTTTTGGCTAACTCAATTTCATTTATTAAATTTCTTACAGCTACTATTTATTATTTGAATCTTTCACTTACAGTTTTTATGCCTCTATTGTGACCTCTTTATTCTTTTTTGTCTCTTGTAAGTTCTGAGTCTAGATATTAGAGCAAAAATACTAGTTTTTTTTAGAGCACTTCTTTTCCTTTGAGTGGCATGGATTTCTCACTATTCATGGATCTGATGTAACTTTTGAATTCTCTTGTCTATTTTCATTTTGGTTTTGAGAGGTTGCTGTCTGATAATTATTATTTCCTTTCTTTGGAATCAGTCCCATTCTAGAAGCCGTAGTGTTCTTTGACTTTTTAGATAAATTTAAATAGACTAAGTTTGAGTTTAGCTCTGTTGCCATAAGTTGTGGAGAAGGGGGCAGGAATTGGTCTTTTTAAGTGGATATTTTGGGTTACTTGGGAACAAAAGGTTTACTAGTGACAGAATAGAAACGTTACAGGGCTGGGGATTTAGCTCAGTGGTTCTGCCGCTTGCCTCTCAAGCACAAGGTCCTGAGTTCGATCCCCAGTACCAGAAAAAAAAACCCCAAAAAACCAATATAAAGTCCTACAGAGATCCAACTTAGTACCAAGGAAACAAGATGCCCTGGATAGAGATACCCCAATTTATGTGTTTTTTTTCATTAGTACATGTTTGCAGTACATAATGTTTACATTCCTTGTGAGGTGTTGGCACATGTACATAACACATCTTAATTCCTCTTTTTATCCTTTTCTGCTCCTTTCCCTCCACCATTTCTCCATCTCTTGATCCCCTTGTCATTTGAAAAAGATCTGTCTCCCTACTTCATATTATCTTTTATTTTGCTCTTAATTTATATTTTGGGCCTCTCACATAAGAGAAACCAAAAGCTTGTGTGTCTGATTTCATTTAACATTATGGTCTCAAGGTCTTTCTTTATGACAGAGTAGTACTCCATTGTGTGTAAATACTGTATTTTACTAATTCGTTCATCTGTTGATGGGCATATAGGCTGCTTCCAAGATTAAGCTAGCATGAATTGTACTGCTATAAACATAGATATCCATGTATGTAGTATGATGTCTTGAACTCTTTCAGGAGATACCTAGAAGGGGAATAGCTGAATCAAATGGAATTTTTAGTTTTAGTATTTTGAGTAATCTCCATACTGATTTCCGTAGTGGTTATCCTTGTTTACATTCCCACCAACAATGTACAAGGATTCCTTTTCCCTCACAGTCTCACCAGCATTTATTAATTTCTTGATGATGGCCATTCTTTCTGCGGTAAGATAGAATTTCAGTGTTTTTTTTAATTTGCATTTTTCTAATGGTCAGGGATGTTGAATTTGTTTTTTTGGAGGAAAACAAATAAATAGAAAATAAGTTATTAAAATGACTTGAAAAAGTTCTGAATGAAAATTCCATATAAATTATTGAGAATTATTAAAGTAAGCTAGATAATGAAATTCACGTTTCTATCAAGTGAAGTTCTGTTTCATGTCTCCTTCTAGTCTTTGAATGTATTTTTGTTTATTTTTTGCCATTGTGGCTTCACCTTTTCACAAACAGAACACTGGGCAACGTAGAGATGGACCTCTTGTGCTTATAGGCAGTGGACTTTCTTCAGAACAACAGAAAATGCTTGGGGAGTTGGCAGCAATTCTTAAAGCTAAAAAATGCACCGAGTTTGACAGTACAGGTAAGAAGTTTTGATCCTTTTTTTTTTTTGGTAGAAAAGTTTTGAATAAGTAACCTCTTTGGACAATTACCTTTGAAAATGTATATGTTTTAACCATTGGGATGTGGCTACATATTTTGCATCTTGTAATAAATCTAAAATAGTTTACAGTAATAAACTGTTATAGACAGTGTTGTTAGGAAATGTAAAGTTTAAAGCCTTGTGCATATTTTAGAACAGATCAGTGTATCAGAAGAACAAATTTATGAGCTTTCTAATAACAAGTGGTAGTGCAATGTAATGCCATAATTCCTTAGTTATAATTTGAAGATAGCAAAAAATTTGTGTTTGTTAATGTGGCTTTAAGATATGGTATTGCTCTGACTTTTTCTGTTGATGGCCAGGTTAGAGAATGATACTACATAAAAGAAGTCTCACAAAAGTGTAAAAATCGCTACTTTTGAAGAAAATTCAGATATGTTAATAAAATAGGCTAAGTAGTTATAAAAAGTGGGCTAGATATAGAATTCTTTTGGTTTGTGTTTGTCTTGCTTACTGCTTTTTTTTATATCTTTAGTAACTCACGTCATTATTCCTGGTAATGAAGCTCAGAGTACTCTCAAGTGTATGCTGGGGATTCTCAGTGGATGCTGGGTCCTGAAGTTTGACTGTAAGTACTGGATTTGAGAGAATTACAAATTGAATTAACTAGACTAGTTCGATTTTATAGTCATTACTACTATTGATTATTCAAGGAACTTACACTAATCTTCCCATTTCTTGTTAGTTACTATATTTTGAAAAACTTCTCATATTAGTAGTGTCATTTAGATGTTCTTAGTAAATGTCCACAGATAAGTTCTGCTTTTAAAATCTATAATGCTAAATATATTAATAAAGAGTAAATGGAGTACATTTTAGATTTTAAGCCTAACTAATCCATATTACTGTTAAATGATAGATTTAATATACTCATGTCTTAAGTACCTTACCCAGTAGGTCGGTGAAATGAAAGTAGATTATTGCTTACCTTTTATTATTTCTAAAATACCTCCCTAACATCGTTTTTCCTCTCTTAGCTACCTTAGTATTTTTAGACAGCTGTTGGGAAATTTCGACTGCCGTGTCCTACCTGGTCTGGGGTGACTACAGCAGCTGTTTCATTCATCTCCACTAGTCACCTTCTTGTTGGCGAACACTACCACCTTCACAGCTACCTTCCACCTTCCTTATAGTTACTTGTGTGGTTTTCTTAACCTTGGATTTTCTTAGAATTTAAAAGAATATTAAAAAGAATGCTCATTTTTAAAACTTTGTTCTCTGGCTTTGTGCTTTAAAGGTTTTACAGTAGAATGGTTGATTTGTCAGATCTTAATTATATTATTTAATTTGTATACTTTGAAGTTGTTTTGGTTTGTGAAAGTGTTTCCTTTCTGCAGTTGGTGTTTATGCCCTTTTTAAATACTCTTCCACTTGTGATGTTGGTCTCCACTGATGTCAGGTCCAGCAAAGTGCTGTGACTAGCAATGCTATTCCCTATGTTCTCATCCATCTCTTTATTAGTCCTTCTGGTCACAACCACTTAGAAAAGTATGGTAAGTAATTGGACTGACTCCATTTACATAGGAAAAAACCTTTCTCTTTATGTCTATTTTTGAATATTATTTTCCCTTACAAATCTGTGGTAAGCCTCACTGAGCTTCAGTGTTTTAAAAAACTCATTTAAAAAGACTCCATGAATATGGATTGTTTGCTTGTTTTCTGCTTTTTTTGGACAGTACTAGGAATTGAACCCAGGGCCTTGTGCATACTAGCCTAGTGCTCTACCACTGAGTTGCATCCCAGTTTGAGTATAGGTTCTTTTGTACCATACCTGTGTGTGTCAGACACCTGGCCAGTGGTTATAAGAAAAGATAGATTTTCCTAATAATAAGGTCTCAGTAAAAAAGAAGCCATATAAAATTTTCAATATTAAGACATTTACAATTTAACTTTGAGTCTAGTTCTTGAGAATATGCTGAACTGGCATTCCGTTACTTATACAGGCTACACGATTCATTTCCATAAAATCTACCTTCTTCAGGAAATGTGAGTTTTGTCATTTTAATGGTTTGCCCATGTCATTTTTATAGAATCACTGATGGGCTCAAGCTGACTTAATAGTGTGCTACATGGTGATTCTCACAGTAGTGAATAACATCCTCTAATATCAGTGGCTCTTTAGGATAAAGGATGGATGAAATCTCTTATTGAAGTTCATACCTTCATATTTTCTAATATAGAGTTCAAAGAGAAGTAAGTTCAAAGTTTGAGAGAATTTAAATAATCATGGAGTTTATAAAAAGGAGGCAAGAACTCTCAAGTGCCTTCTTTCCTAATACAATATATATATTTCTTACAGTTTCTAAATTGTTCTTAGTGCCATGCATCTGAGTTTGATTTTAAAAAATGTTTCAGAGCTATTTATAGCTACTGAAAATCATTTATGTTAAAGAAAGATGAAATAGACTGAAGCTTTCAAAATTAGCTGTAAGGATTTATGGCTTATTAAAACTAGGTCTTGTATTTGAATCTAGATATTAGCTTGTTCAAGGTTATACAAAACATTTACTAGATTAACTATTAAGAATGCCTTTTTATGAGATTTTCTATAAACCAAATAGATTCAAGAGGAATTTTAATCTGTTTTCTCTATAGGTGGTTGATTCAGTAAATTAAATTAACAAAAATTATTCAAAGAGTTCTTGACTTAGTGAATCCATATTTGTTAAATGTTTCTGTTTAAGTGCTTTATCTAATTGGTAAATATTTCTTCCTGTATCATGTTATGTATAACATCTTTGACTGCCACAGTTAATGGACTTACCATGAAGATTCTGAGAATAGGACATAATTATACTGCTGAAATAGCCATTGGTCTCATATTTATTTTATAGATATTTTACAGAGTAGTATTTATCTTAAAGTTTACAAAAATAGGAGCTATAGATAGGGAAAGTTCTTTTTTTTGCCACCTATTCCTTGGACAGAGGACTAATATCTGGAATATATAAGGAACCAAAAAAGGCTCTTTAGAAAAAACACCCAATCAAAAAATGAGGAACTGAAGTAAACACTTCTCAGAAAAAGAAATACAGATGTATAGTACAAACATGAGAAAATGTTCAACATCTTTGGCCATCAGAGAAATAAAAATTAAAACAACACTTTAGTTTACATCTTACTCCAGAAAGAATGGCCATCATCAAAAAATCAAATAATAACAAACGCTGGCAAGGCTTCTGGGAAAAAGGAACCTTTCTACATTGTTGGTAGAAATGTAGACTAGTACAACCACTATGGAAATCAGTGTGAGATTCCTCAGAAAATTAAAGCTAAAAATTGCATTTGACCAACCCATTCCTCTGTATCTTTCTGAAAGAGTTAAAGACATCATGTTACAGTGATACATGCATACCCTTGTTTATAGCAGCACAACTCATAATAGCTAGATCTTGGAAGCAGCCTATGTATCCATCAACAGATGAATGGATAAATAAAAATTGGTGTTTACATACAATGGAGTACTACTCTGCCATGAAAAATAAACTTGAATCAGCTGTAGGAAAATGGATGCACCTTAGACCATGTTAAATGAAATAAATCACACACACAAGCCTAGATATCTCATGGCTTCTCTTATATGAGAAACCCAGAATATAAATAAAGAGCCAAAATAAAAGATAATAGGAAAAAGGTGGATGTATCTTTTGCAGAGCAAACAAGACCAATACATGGAAGGAAAGAGGAGGGAATGAAAGAAAAGGGGAGAGAAGGAATGAAAACAGAATTGTGTCATGTCTGTGTACCAACCCCTGTAAAGAATGTAATCATTGTGTACTGCAAACATGTACTCATGAACATAAAAGTTGAAGTTGTGAGAGGTTGGGAAGGTAGCTCAGGGGTAGAGTATCAGCTTCACATGCATGAGGCTCCTTGACTTCCGTACCCAGTACCACCAGATTTTTAAAAAGCAGTGATCTATTTTGTAACTAAACTGCTTCAGCCTTAGTTTTGGTACTAATTCCTCACAGGCAACTTACCCTTGTATAAAGCTGAGTTTTGGTAAACAAGTGACTAGAATGAAAGAATAGAAAAATGTATAAATAAGTCAAATTATTACTCTTAGAATATAAATAGGATGAAAGCTACATCCTAAGGGTGCAAACTAGCTTTCTATACAGTATTTTTTAGTGATCTATTCTTGTAGTGCATAGCTTTGAAATTTTTGTGTAGCTTAACCTTTTTAAAAAAATGAGTTCTGCATACTCATTTCTCACCTTATTATGTAGGGAGAGCAGATGGCTGTCATCATCTTTAATAATCTCGCCTTTTTTTCCTCTCTCATCTAAGTTTAAATGAAATTTCAGCTGTAGAGGTTTTAAGAGTCCCATCACCTGAAGGAATTGCTGAGATGTGCCAGACATTGTACATTGGGCTTGTGTCTGTGAGCTAAGGAAGGGCCAGATGGAGTGTTTGTTGTTTTTGCTTTGTTTTTGTTGAGGGGTGATGACCCCTAAAAGACATTAGGTGATTAGTCATTAGGTAATTAGTTTATAAGTAACCTCATAATCAGACTAATGGATTCATTTTCTTCCTCTTTTTTTTCTTCCTAAATTGCCCGGGTGGCCCTCAAATTATCAATCCTTCCACCTCAGTTCCTGAGCAACCAGGATTACAGGCATGTACCACCATGCCCAGCTAAATTTATTCTTTTCTATTAAGATTTACTTCTATAAATGGAAGTTAAAAGTGCCATGAAATTTTAAATATTAGTGTAATTTTTATTCTACTTAATAAACTGAAAATTATTAAAAAATAGATACACTAAAGCATTTCTATCAATATTAATTAGGCAAATTAATACTTACAGAAGGCCTCCATTAAAGATTTTTCATTAAGCAAAAATATATATAAATTTAAAACTAGGCAAGGTGGCAAAAACCTGAAATCCCAGTCTACAAGGCTGAGGCAGAAGGATTGCAAGTTTGTGCCCAACTTGAGCAAGTTCACAATTTAGTGAGACTCTGTCTCAACAAAAAAAAATACAGTATCCTTTGATCTAATAGTCCCACTTTTTAGAGAATTTTCCCTAAGCAAATAATACAAATTAAAGAAAAAGGTATTTTCATTGTTATTTTTAATGGAATTAGGGAGAGTGACCTAAAATTAAAAGGACATTAGAATGCTTAAAGTTATTCTGTGGAAAACAATCATTTTTCTCTAAGACTAAGGTATTATGAAAAGGAGTGTATAAATATTAAAAAATAGTTCTCACTTTTAACTATATAAATGTAAATACATATAGGCAAGAAAAACAAGAAAATGGTAGTAGGCTGATGGATTACTGAAGAGGCCAGTTTGTTTTAACAGTTTTTAAAACAATGTATGCCTGGTAGATTCAATTCAAGTTCTCTAGGGGTAAATTCAGAATTTCAAGTTCTAATATTAATGAGAAAATATATTTTCTTGTTAGTCTTTTCCAAAGATGATATAGATAGGTAAAGGCTTTCATCTTAAAAAGGGAAATTATTACCTGTGTAATATGTAAACATCTCTCACCTGTTGCACCAGATCTTTTATATTTGTTATGCAGATCTAAAAATTACATTTTACTGTGGTGATTGTTCT